GCAAAAAAGTTTACCACTTTAACCTTCGGGCACTCCCCTAAAACCTTTATCGTGGGGAGTGAAAATGCAAAAAATCGGTTTACCAAAATTTTGTGCACCGTAGACAAAAATGTTTTAAATAAAAAATGTAGCTGAGATAATTTTAAAGAAAAATTTTAATTAGCACTTTTTGCGTAAAATGAACCGTTCTCTCAGAAACAATGATTGGACGACCGACGATTTTGAATATCAGTTGCGCGCGAAATCAATTTTAAATAAAATTTGTATCAAGGGTAAAAATTCGATTTTTTTGATCAAAGTATCTTTTTTAATCAAAGTATCCTATCGACAAAAATAAAAATGCATTTGAAAGGTAAAGGGTGTAGTTTTTGTACGCATATTTTGTATTTTGCGCAAATAAATTTAGTTCTTATAAATCTGCTCACTAAATAAATTTTGCGCGATTTTTGCCATTTTTTACGATTCTCATGAGATCAATAAAGTTTATTACTTTTATTGACCAATCGTAGTAAAATTTCTATCAATGGAGACTAGTCGTCAAAACCTTTAACATAAAATTTCGATTTTTATTTTTAGCAACAAATATAAGGCATCTGAAATATGACTAAAACACGCATAATTTAAACTTTTACATTACCAACAATCGGATGTCACGGAAAATGCCTCCAGGAGAACGGTTTCGTGTGTAATTTATAGCACGATTTAAGTCTTTTTAAAAAACGTACTAGAGTAATTAAAAAAGAACATTTTTAAATGTTTTAAATCGTTTGTAATGTAAAAGTTTAAATTTAGCGTGTTTTTAAGCATAATTCAAATACCTCACATTTGTTGCTTAAACTAAATGCTAAAATTGTATGCTAAAAATTTTGAATAGGTTCTTGTCATGAAAACTGTAGAGTGGCCGATCAATGAAAAGGGGTACATTGTATTTATCTTCTATCTATCTAATTAGATTTCTTCAGTCCATCTTTGGACATAGGCCTTCCCAATCCTTTTCTATTCTTCTCTGTCTCTCTGTCTGTCGCTACAGTCATCCACCTAGATCCCACATGCTTCTTGATATCATCTGCCCATCTCATTTGAAGCCTTCCTCTGCTTCGTTTATCATCCCACGGTCTCCAACTTATAAGAATTTTGTTCCATTGAAAAATTGTACTTATCTTATGATGGCTATAATCGTGCCACGTTTAATTATTTAACACCTCTATAAAATCTGAGTTCATTTACAAAAAAATACAAAAATTCATACAAAAGCTGCACTATTTACCATTTTTACAAAAGCTGCAAAATTTCTTTAAATATATCGAATTTTCACCGCCGAGCTGATACAAATGTTCTAAATGTGCCTAACTAACATTCAAAATCGCCGATCGCTTTAATAGTAGTTTCTGAGAGAACAATTCATTTAACACCAAAAGTGCTAATGAACATTTTTGTTCAAAATTATTATTTTTTATTTAGAACAATTTTTCCTATGGCGTACAGTTGCTTGGTAAATCGATTTTCCCTCCTCTACTAGGGGGATTTAAGAGACGCTAATTGTATCCGAACGTCTGCAGTCTCTCCGGTGAGTACCGATCGCAGAAGGATAGAAATTGTTTTCATTCATTAATTTTTAATAAACGAAAATTTCTCCACCCAGATGAAATTCGAACTCACGACCTTTAGGTTTAAAGGTAGGCGCTCTTACCACCGAGCCACAGAGGGGGTTTATTGTTGGGTTTGAATACGGAAGAAACTTTGAAAAGCTTCAAAAATACTGCTGTAGATTGAAAGAATAACTTAAATTTATATAACTATTTAGCAGCACTATTATTGTACAGTATCAAAATGACGATTATTATATTTTCATCTAGTTTTCAGTATTTTAATAATCCAAAACAAAAAAACATTCAGTATATGATTTTAATTTCTGAAAAGTGCCCAAGCAATTATTTTACGTCGATAATACTTCCTAATAAAAATAACTACACAAAAACCTTTTCAAACTACCGCTTAAGGAAGACGTACCTAAAAGATTCTATGTTTATGACTGCTTTGTAAATATGCTATGCAAAATAATAGCTAGATAAGATAACCTTTTTATGTCTCATTGACAGAATCCTCTATAGTATTCTTTAGACCAAAAAAGGTCCCGTATACAGTTTATCTCCGAATGCCCTAATAGTTCCGTCATAATTTAGACCACACGCAAAATAACTGTACCACTTGTTTAATTATTTCTTTTCCTAAAAAGGATATTTCTTAATTTAATTTCATTTTTTACCAAGTCAGTATGTAGTAAAGTTTAACAACTGTTATATCTCCATAGCCCTGATAAGGGGTAAGCTATTTTTTTAGATACCTCTCGAAATTCTTCATTTTTTCATTATTCCGTCTACTTGACTTTGTAAATCCGTCTCATTTAAATAGGGCTTAATGCCAGTCCAAGTATATCATCATCAGCATCATTTGGCTCTACAACTCTATATGAGTTTTGGCCGCGTATACTATTTCCCTCCATTGTTGTCGGTCCTGAGCAGCTATTTTCTATTGCTGTATTCCCATTTGCGTAGATCAATGGCTGCTGAGTCCGTCCATCTCTTTCTTGGGTGACCAACTGACCTTCTGCCATCGGGCCTTTCCCAGCATGTGGCGTTCAGGAGTCTTTCATCACTCGATCTTAGCACGTGGCCCGCCCATTTTATTCGGTTTGCTTTAATGTAGCGTACTATGTTTTCATCTCCATATACTGTCTGAAGTTCATCATTGTGTCTTCTTTTCCATTCTACTGTTGTTTCTTTTTTGCAAGGCCAGTACCAGTAATTTTGTCGTTTTCCGCTAGTTCAGAGTCCATGTCTCGCTTCCATACGTTATTGTGAGGCGAATTATTGTCTTATACACCCTTATTATTGCTGGTATTGAGAGTATTTTTAATTTAAGTACGGTCAATAATGAATAATATGCCTGTTTCCTGCAATGCTCCTGGCTGCTACGTCCTTTTCATATTTATTTTCAGATATTATGATCGCCCCCAGGTACTTGAATTTTTTGACGACTTCAAAGTTATATTCATTGATTGTTACGTTTTTGTCTAACACTTTGCCTTGGGTTCTTCGTAACTACCATGTACTTGGTCTTATCCTTGTTGACCTTATTTTGCATCTCTGGGGTGGATTGTACAATTCTTTTACGTCATCCGCAAACGCCAATAGTATTTTTGATCCTTGGGAGGGGGGGGGGCGAGAGGACCTATTTGTCTAAGCCCGCTGTCAATGAGGAATTCCTCCGACGTCTTGCTGCTAATTCTGATCCGTACAAAAGCGGTCTCTGTGCCCACCTGTGCTAAACATACCAGCTTTCCAGGTACTCCCATTTCTACCATGGTCTCCCACAATGCTTCTCTGCTTGGCCCAAGTATATCCCAATAATATTCCAATATGGCTCCGAAATTAAATCAAATATGGGTTGGAAGGTAATGCCGGTCTCAGTATATTCCAATTTGGGTCTTAGGTATATTCCAAAGCCAATCTTCGATATATTCCTAAGTATGGTCTAAATCCAATTAACCGTTAGTCCGACTAATCTTGAGTATATCCCAGTAACTCCCTAGGAAATCGAGTTTTCTCCTGCTAAATGTGAAGCCACCCGCGTATCCAGGAATTGGCTACACAGGAAGGTAAAGTCCTGTTAAGCTACTTTCCAGTGGAAATCGAAATGTCAAATAAACTTATTTTAAAGTAAAATTGTGGCTTATTCCTCACAAAAATAGTAAATAACATTAAAATGCCACAAGAGAATAGCTTCAGAACATTCACTAAAATATGTTAAAAATGACCTAATTGAGCACGATTCCGAAAAATCCATTTTTGGTTTTTAAACTGTTTTTCTCTGCACCACTACCAGTTTCGCTATATCCTTATAGATCTATAACTAATTCTACTGTTAATTTTTTTTTATCTAGAAGACTCTTTGAAACGAGCGACATGTTTACATTGTTTTATCTACACACTTGCAAAAAAACATATTAAAACAAATAGTAACGTAAATTTTTTAGAAGTTTTCTTTTTGTATATTCTTGAAAAAAATCACATGATTACCTATTACTTCCCCTGTTTAACTAGATGATACACTTTGTTATTTAATTTTAATGTTTTAAACTCCGTTACAGTTATACTTTTTTGTCCAATACTTTATTTTTACCCACATTATCCCCTTAAATATCCACATGCTTAAATGTACAACTTAAATGTAAAACTTAAATTCGATTAATGTCTTTGTTGTCTATTATACATAAAGTAGGCGTTCCTAAATTAATATTTTTTAAATTCGAGCTTTAACACTGCCATAAATTATCAATGCACAACAGACGCAATACAGCTGAAATATTAACACTCATTTGTTTACATTGTTGCAATTACCTTGTCCCTCCATTACAATTTATGTACCCTTGCACTTCGTATTTTAAAAAGGTTTGTTGAATAAACGAATAAAAAATGAATGAATATAAAGCATTTTGATGACTTAATCGGTGTTTATAGAACATGAATTATTATAACAAGGTTTATACTACAGTACATTCAACCAACTTACACCTCTAAACAATTAATGGAATTCGTAGAAAATCTTTCGTCGTAGTAAAAGGCACGGTAAAGTGCACTGGAGTTCTCTATAATCTTTTAATTACTTACTTTGTTTAGAATATTTTTGCCGGTATTGTTTATTAACAAAAAAGATATAAACATAAAAAATTTAATATCTATTAAAAACTGTAACAAAATATGCAAAACTATAAACAACGGGTTAATGACACATATATTTATTTTATACCTAAAATTTAGCAAAGTGTTAAACATTATGTAGAACACCAGTGCAGTTTAGTGTGCATTTTACTACAACAAAAGTTTTTCTGCAAATTCTGTTAATCGTCTAAAGATGTAAGTTGGTTGAATGTACTGTACATTACCGAGATAGCTCACCTGTTTCTCCATATCTCACGTTCCGTCCTTTTCTGGTTTGACATCTTCCTTACAATACGGAACAGCATTAATATCTGCTGCAGCAGCACGACTTCCTCCAGGTTCTTCATCACCCTGGTCATCACTAGCCGGTTTTAAGTCTGGATTAATTCTTTCCGGTGTGGTTCCCTCCGGTGGTTTCTCGGAAGCTAGCATCTCGATTTGGGTTTGTTCTAGGTCGCAGCAGGTATGCATTAATGTAAAAGGCAATTTTAGGCTAAGGTCGCCGCCCATTCTATTGACTAGGAGTTTGACTTTGACGTAGTACGAGACGTATATAGCAAATACGTTGCGATCGTCTGGAGCATTACGCTGAAACGGAAAAATTCATTGTTTAATGCTTAACATTCTAGTATAAATATATACATTTAAAAGTCTAGACACGTACTCGTAGAAAACCATTACTAACTTAAATTATTTCTAAAGAGAACTACCAAAATTGTAAAAGAAATTGTTTATTTAAACCAAAACACAAACCAACTCTTCTCCACAAGACAATAACATTTTGTATGAGATTTGTAAAATTGAAAAACATCCATTTTATAATTTCTCATCATCCGGTTCACTTTGGCTGATGATATAATAATAAATGAAAATTTTTAGATGATTATCACCTCATATTCGACAACGACAACGAATATTTTACTGTGCAAGTAGAAGTATGAAAGTAAATTGGTCTAATCGTTATTCCAATAAAAAGGATCTACTGTTAGTATGGCAATAAAACTAAAATTATTTCAGTTAATAGATGTTCAGATAGACGCAAAATTTATTGTGAAATTGTGAAATTTAATCTGAAAATAACAAAAATTTTTACGCAAACGCTCTTACAACATTCCATCACTTGATATTCCAATAAGTTTTTCTTTCATGTTTATTGGTATTTCAACATGCTGAAAAGAATCGGCTAAAAACGGATTTAGTATCCATCTGCAACTGCCGTAACTGTTTTGAATTTCTTCGAGGAAATAATCACAGAGCTGTTGTTTTAAATTGACCAAAGTAACATGCATGTCAGCAAAAACTTGTTCAAAATTTGTAGCACTGTAATTTGATACATTTTCCATAATTTCCTGAAGGCACTGGAGTAATTCTAGTTGTTTTTTGCCAAGTGAGGTCGACCATAAATCGATTTTTCTTAGAAACGCTGTTTTATCTGTGGCTGTAATTATATTAATGTCGCGACCTTGTAAATTACTGTTCAAAATATTTAATTGCTCGAAAATATCAGCAAGGAAACCTAGTTTCAGAAGCCAAATAGGATCGGAAAATTGATTTTCATATGGGGACTTCTCATCCTTTAATTACATTAAAAGCTCTGCTCTTAAGTGAGATACTCTTTTTAAGACGTTACCCCTTGAAAGCCACCTTACTTCGGTGTGATAGAGAAGATTTTCAAATAAAGCATCCATGTCTTCGCAAATTTTTCTAAAAATACGGGTTTGCAAAGCTTTTACTTTAATGGAATTTACAACTTTAATGATGGTTTTCATAACATAGTCCATTTCAGGAGGTAAAGCTTTGGATGCAAGAGCTTCTCGATGTAAAAAACAATGGCCAAACCATTTGGCATTAGGCATTATTTCTTGTAATTTGACGACAAGACCAGATTTATGTCCTGTCATAGCTTAAGCGCCATCTGTGCTTATAGCATTACATTTACCCCAGTCAATATCATATTTACTTGTACGTTTCCCAACAGTGTCGAGTAAATATTTTCCAATGATATTGGTCTCCAATGGGGAACAAAATAAAATATCTTCTTGAATGCCATTATTTGTATCATATCTTACAAACGTAATGAATTGTGCACAGTTAGATATATCTGTGGATTCGTCAATTTGAAGAGAGAAGTACGTGCATTTATTAAGATTTTCCACAACTTGCGCTTGAATATGTTCTGCCATATCACTAATTCTTCTTTGGATAGTACAATTTGACAGAGGTATTGTATTTAATTTTGCAGCCGTTCTTTCATCACACATTATATGTACCATTTCAACAGCTGCTGGAAAAATCAGATTTTCAGCAATTGTGTGCGGATTACTGGTTTTGGCAACACGATAAGCAACTTTATAACTTGCTAATAATGCTTTTTCATTAGTAGTGGTTGCCAAGGGAAAACTGTCTTGCTGTTTGTGAAGGACGTTCAGCTTTCTTTTAAAGAATTCGACGGGCTTGTCTTTTTTTCTGGATGTTTGCTATTTAAATGTCGAAGTAACTTTGATGGCTCATGCTTTCTTTTGACAAGATTTGTCCACAAATAACATATTGTGGTCTATTGGAAATAACGGTAAAACCATATTTAAGATATTCATCAATGTAGAATCTGTTTTTCTTTTTATTGCTGCTACTGCCACTTTCAGACGTAGATGGTTCTGCACTTCGTTTTAAAAACTTATCCATAATTTATAATTTATCGTAGACGTAAATAAGTAAACGGGAATACGTAAGTCGTAAAATATTTACTCATTACTCAACACCGAGTTCGCCACCATAGGCTGTTTGGATTCGAACTGAGGTTTCGTTGCGCATCGCCGCTTCTATAAAGCCAAAACGAGGCTACGAGAACGTTCCAGAGTGCCATCTAGTAGCGAGCGCTTTCGCGATTATCATGGAAGAGTTTTGCGATGTAGACACAAGCTAATATGTCGCGGTGTACAATGTGCAGGCGACTTCTTATTATTTATTTTTATTGTAAATGCTATTCTGGCAGAAGTACCTACTACTAATTACTAGTGGGACAGATCGCAATTATTAAAATAATTGTATTAAAATAAAATAATTGTTTTTGATTGAAACTTAAACAGTAAAGTAAAATTAAATTTGAGAAACCATCAGATAATTGTAAATTAGGCACGCTATTTCTGTCAAATAATATTGAATAAATTAGTGCGGGGAAATTGGGGGGTCGCGAACAAATTTTTAAGCAAAAAGGGGTCGCGGTTTAGATAAGTTTGGGAAACCTTGCTCTACACATATTTAATTTATATTTTTTTAACTTGCTCTAGCTAGCTAAATCGATAAAGCGAAAAAAAACAAAAAATATTGTTATGTTACTAAGCCACACACGGAAAATGACATCGACTGTATTATGTTCATGAAAACCCGGTTGTTTATAAAAATTAAATCAGACACCAAGACAGCGAAAGAAATTGAGTGTCCCATTGCGGTTTGGGGAGGGAAACATCAACGAGGATTAAAAATTTATAGAGCATAAAGTTTAAAAAGTAAAGAGTTCTGTACCCTGGGGTTTTTGGCGGAGGAGTAACTGGGTGTTTAAAAATTAATGATGTTTCAGTTGATAAAATACAAAAATCCATCGGTGGAGAAAAAATGCTAAAAAATATTATTTTAATCTTAGCCTCACAATAAATTTTGTATATTACTTACTCATCAGGTAGTCACTAATATTCGGTGATGGACGAAGGCCTAACCTAAATATTTTCAAATTTCTGTATCTTCTCTAAAATACAGTTTCCTGTTATTCTCTCTTCTCACCATTCTAGAATGTTTTTTATTCATTTGTGATCTTTTTTATTGCTAGATGGCAGGTTTATTTTAATTTCATTTTCGCCATCTTCTGCCTGTGGTAACAAATCCAGAACATTGAACATTGCTAACCGTAGCAGCTCGAAAATAAGCTTATTTAAATAGATCATAGAAATGTATGACTGTTCTTCCTGGTTGGTTCCTCGGCCAAATATTCTAAAGCTGAACCCTCAGTCAAATTCGTTAGACTAATCTAAATTATTGAGTTTGTTAAATTAACCAAAGAAACGACGTCTAGTGGTTGTTTGGTAAAGAGTGTTCGTAATGAGTACTTTTGACATATAGCCTGTGTTCCAGAAAAAAAATCTATAACAGTTTGAGCCCTCTCATAAAAAAAATATCGTCCGCCCGACCTTCCAATTAAAATCCCGCCATGAGAAATGTTCACGCTAACCCCCGTGCGCTCCTCCTATGCCAACCAACGCGCCCGCCAATCCTTGCGCCAATCTCCACGACAACCTCCCCAGTTCGCACTCGAGACGCATCGCCCCGCCCCTCAATTTTCCTATTGGTCCCTGACCTGGAAATCTCTATTTATCGCTACTTCAGCGTGTATAAAAATAGGCGATTTTCAGGTCAACCAAGTCAGTCCGTCACGGGCTCTCTGAGAGCTTAGTGCCCTCGGGGATCTGCTTCTTTTTTAGCTTTCCATACTCTGTGGCTGAGTATTTTATTTCAACAATATTTGGTGTTTTATTTCGACTACTATTTAGTCATATAAGAAATATCTTGCCTTTGTCAAGGCAAGTCACCGAAGCTGAGAACCTGATGTCTATTTCGACAACTTCATCGTATGCCATCTAAGAAATAGCTCGTCTTTTTCAAGACGAGCTCATCAGAAGAAAATTTTACAACGACCCACGACCCAGCTCAACTCGCAGCAGAAGGCATCACACCATTGACTTCAATATGGGTTGAAGTCAAGAGAAGAACGGGGAGAACCACGGAGTGTTAGAATGCTATCTAACACTCCGACATCGAAGCCTTCTGCAGACCGGATGTCTTCGACGTGCAGGCGACCTTGACGAGCCAGCCTTCTTCGAAATCAGAAGCCCCAGATGCCAATGGAAGTCCCGGAGCAGACCCAGTCATCGCCCCCCCTACCGAAAGTGGTTGGACACCACGTAGGCTTCGGCACCCTGGTACTCTGCAAAACCCCGTTGGATATGGCAGATGGGATCCGGACGACCGAGTAGACGAACCCGTTGGAGGAGTCGGCACACCGATCGAGAATGGACCTGCAGGAGCCGGAGATGCCGTCAACGCTACCGACCTTTCCCGTTAGTGCAGTGTGTTGTGAGTTTCAAAGACAATTTAGTTTTATGAACTTTATTATTACTTATTACTTTTTGCATTTTCATGTATTTTCTTTTAATGTATTCCACATGTACTTTTATTGTATTTTTTTATTGTAATTTTTTGATAATTCAATAAATTTCTTTCCCAGCCACAGAGTCTCCAGAGGAAGGGGGATGTTCTCGGATTACAATTTGGTGTTTTATTTCAACTTAAAATTGTTCATGTAAGAAATAACTTGCCTTTTTTAAGGCAAGTCACCAAAGAAGACAACCTGATGGTTTATTTCAACGGAGAATTTTCGTCATGTAGGAAATAACTCGTCTTTCTCAAGACGAGTCATCAGATGAGAAAACTTTTACAAGTCCATAACCTGTAAGTGGACTTGGGTAGAGGTGCTTTCGTTGACGTCTCCGAAGCCCTCTACAGAGCACCCGGAGGCAATAGAAGGATGATAGACCGCTATTTGTTCCCCTGCGGTGACACATCCGATATTTCCAGTAGCAGTTATGCAATAATTAATGATCACGGTAGTAGTGTCTATTGTATTCGTATGTAGTTATTCTTATTTATAGGGCCTAGTATTCGTATCAGTACTTTTATTTTAAAGATTTTAATGTAGTTTATATATTTTTGAGTCAATACTCAAGTTTCAC